TGTTGGAGAAGACTCTTGAGAATCCCTTGGACATAAAGGAGATCAAACCAGTCAATCCTAAAGGAAATCAGAAAATTTCCTTTTCTTCTGGAATTCCATTGCCTCCACTAGCTTTGTTCATAGGAATGCTTCCTAAGGCCCACTTGACTTCACACTCCAGCATGTCTGGCTCTAGATGATCACACCATCGTGGTTATCTGGGTCATTAAGAGCTTTTTTGTACAGTTCTGTATATTCTTTCCACTTCTTCTTAATTTCTTCTGCTTCTCTTAGATCCTTGCCATTTCTGTCCTTTATTGTGCCCATATTTGCATGAAATATTCCCTTGGTATCTCCAGTTTTCTTGACGAGATCACTGTTCTTCCTCATTCTATAGTTTTCCTCTATTTCTTTGGACTGTTCACTTACGAAGACTTTCTTATCTTTCCTGGTTACTCTCTGGAGCTCTGTATTCAGTTGATCATATGTTTCCCTTTGTCCCTTACCTTTTGCTTCTCTTCTTTTCTCCACTATTTGTAAGGCCTCCTCAGACAACTGCTTTGCCTTCTTGCGTGATGTGAGCCAGTCAGTTTTAGGTCTTGTTTTCACTGGCTGTATAGAGCTTCTCGGTCTTTCCAGTGGTCATGTATGGATGTGAGAGTTGGACTGTGAAGAAAGCTGAGCACCGAAGAATTGATGCTTTTGAACTGTGGTGTTGGAGAAGACTCTTGAGAGTCGCTTGGACATCAAGGAGATCCAGCCAGTCCATACTAAAGGAGATCTGTCCTGGGTGTTCATTGGAAGGACTGATGCTGAAGCTGAAACTCCAATACCTTGGCCACCTCATGGGAAGAGTTGACTCATTGGAAAAGACCCTGATGCTGGGAGGGATTGGGGGCAGGAGGAGAAGGGGACGACAGAGGATGAGATGGCTGGATGGCATCACCGACTCAATGGACATGGGTTTGGGTAAACTCCGGGAGTTGGTGATGGACAGGGAGGCTTGGCGTGCTGCGGTTCATGGGGTCCCAAAGAGTCAGACACGACTGAGCGACTGAACTGGTTGACTGATAGAGCTTCTCCATCTTTGGCTACAAAGGACATAATCAGTCTGCTTTTGGTATTGACCATCTGGTGACGTCCACTTGTATAGTTATCTCATGTTGTTGGGAAAGGCTGTTTGCTATGACCAGCGTATTCTCTCGACAAAACTCCATTAGCCTTTGCCCTGCTTCATTTTGTACTCCAGGGCCAAACTCGCCTGGTATTCTGGGCTTCTCTTGACTTCCTAACTTTGCATTTCAATCGCCTGTGAGGACAGGCTTTGTCTTTGACCCTGTGGAGACTGTATGAGCCCAGAATTGGTGCAGGCGCTGTTTTCAGGGTGGATGCTTGCCACATATCCCTCAGGGTGTGCTCGTTGGCCCCTTCCCTGGGGGTGGGCCGGGGCCACGGTGACCGGGGCTTGCAGTGCATGTGGGGCAGGAGCTCCTCTTTGGGGTTGTCACCACCCTGCTGGGGGCAGGATCTTTTGCCCAGTTGTTGAAATTTCACGCAGTTTTAAGCTGAGCTGTGAGATGGACGGACGGGAGAGCTCCCTCTGGGAAAGAAGCGACTGCATTTTCTCCCCAAGAGCTGTTTTGCTAGCAAAGGCCACTCTGTGAGGCTGCCTGCCACCGGGTGTGCATGCCCACGAAGACCACCACTGCGGGCCTGTCCTCTGCGCCCACTTCCACTGGCGGGGGTGCCGTCATTGGCTTGGAGGTCCCTTAGGCCTGCGTGTGTCCTCACAAAGCCACTGGCAGGAAAACCTGCAGAGGCTGGTTCCTGTGCCCAGCGTGGGAATGCTAGTAATTTGGACCAGCCCCGCCTCCAAGTGTTCACACCCATAAAGTCTGCCAAACTTGCTGCACCTGGCACCCTGCTCCACCGTGAGCAAGCTGATAATGGGGCTGCTTCGGTGGACCCACGCCCCGTCCCTCCCTGCTGTCGACAGCGTGGCTCCTGTAGCAGACCCACACGGTCCCGTGCACACCCCAGGCCCTCAGGCTGGCCGTGCAGCCAGACCGAGTCCCCTCCCCTGGTCTGTCTGGTCTGGCTGCCAAAGCCGAGGTCTCAGCGCCGAGTAGCTGGGCACGCCAACAGGTGTGCCTCTGGGGCGGGGGTGTCTGGAGACGCATCAAAGACCGACAGTGCTGGGCTCTTTTTATCCTTTGGGGCAGAGGGCAGCTTCTGCACTTGCCTCTGCAGCTCCTCTGTCCTGGCAGACCTCCCGCCAGTGAAGGAGGATCCCAGGATGAGCATTCTCCCCAGTTCTCCCCCCAGGCAGTAGAACCTGTCCAGATTCCTCTCCTCTCTGCTTTATCTCACCTGGTTATCTGGGGGTCTCACTTGTAGCCTAGGTTGTACGAGAGTTCCTGCAGACTTTCAGTATGTCTTCTGCAAGAGTCGCTCCACATGTAGGTGTATTTTTTATGTACTAATATTTGTGGAAGGAGTTCCATACCCCTCTACCCTGTCATCTTCATCCCCTTCTCTATGTGTTTCTTAAAACAAAAGGTCTCAAACATCAGCGATTGAGTCTGAGTGATCTGAAAGATCTGGCTGACTTGGGGACCGTGAGTCTGTACGCCTCCCAAGCTCCGGGTGATTTTCAGGCAGCTGCTCTGTGGACCAATCTTCTGGGTAGCACTGCCTCACCATACAGTGCAAAGAACGCGTGAGCATTACCTATCACCACCTAGTTAAAATCATTAACTTTTAGGTCCCTCCTAAGAGTGACTGAATCAATGTCATTTTATTCTATCGTTCACATTCACATATACTACCTACAATTTAGTAATTCAAACTGTTATTTGAATATTATAAAACACTTTATTATATACATTATAAATAGAAAAATGGTGACACATGTAGGTCATCTTCAAATGAAATACAATTCAAAGTTACAAAATTCCTGCTAAACGTTGTTCCTGAAGTCGTCTCTTTTTGTTAATAGAGGATGATAGAGGGGATAAAGGATAGTAGCACAGTTTTAACATTCATTCTCCTTTACTTAACTAGAAGACGTGATTAAAAAGAACTTCCTATGTGACTCAGATGCTAATTTAGTGCTGTTTGCCTGCTTATTGTTAAAACAGTCTCACCCAGTGCCAGCTGTATTCGCATGACATTGGGAAGTGTGACTTCAAGGAAGCATCTTCCTTCTCCCTTCTCCAGCTTTCATTCCAGTGACGCTCATTGAGACATGCAGACAGTCTCTGCCAGGCCCTCTGCTACGCTGACAGGTCAGGCTTGGAACACCCTGTGACACCTTCCTCTAAACATCACTGCGTCATCAGGTGTTAGTACAATGGAAACCGCCTGCCGAGACTGCAACAATTCTCCTAGGGGCTGAGAGCTCACTGTATATTCGTCTTGATCCTTGTCATCATCATCTTCATCAATACAATGTTATTATTCATGCAGAAAAAGTCTGCAGAGCTGAAATGATGGACAACTGCATCTGTGCTTCCAGTATACTAAGTTAGACAAGAAAGTGGCTGATATGCATGTAGTCATAAGCATACAGACTGGAAACCTTGAGTTTTTAGATCTAGGCAGAAAATGAAAACAGAACAAAACAAAACAAAAAAACCAGGGCAAAGTTCACTTTATCAATCCAGATACCACATCATTAAACTGATATACAAGTTAATTTGAAACCATCAAGATTCAAAATAATTAAAAAAAAAACTATATAAAGGGGAAAATCTCCAAATGAGTTTCTCCCTCATTTCCAAATTAAATCTTTATCCAAACACTTTAAAAATAAGATATAATAAAAGATAACTCATATACTTGGTTTCTACCTTTCCCTAGTAATTGCCATATTTCTCAGAGACACAGTAATGAGGCACCAGAGGTCCAGCTCCAAAATGGGAGACTAAAATATCTATTTTAATAAAACATTTAAATTGCCTCAGTGACATCTATTGATTTTACTCATTTTTTCAAACTATGGGTCATAATGTATAGCCCAACTTCAAAGTCTGTCCTTTCAAATTTATCTTACATCCCACTTTTTGCTGACATTGCTAATAAAATTTTCAGAAAAGGGCTATAATTCCTTATTAGTTTTCATCTTAGCGACATAACCCATTAACCAAAAAAAACCCCACACTCTCATTGGTTTGAACAAGTTAAGAAAATGAAAAAATAGCTCTAATAACATTATACAGCAATCAAAACATATGAATTAATCTTGAATGTGATCTGGAAGGCTTCACATGATGTACTAAGTGCAAAAATCAGGTTGAAGTATGATGTATTATAACAATGATAATATTAAGAAACAATCCTTCCCCAAATGAGCATATATTTTAAATATGAGCAGGAAGAGTGATAGAATGATACATATTGATCTGTTAATTTTGGTTGTTACCTTGGTTGTTAGTTCAGGCTAGAAACAGGAGTACAAACACATGTTGAAGGATTTTTTTTCTTTATACGTGTACTCCTTTATCTTTGAAACAATCTTTTAAAGAAGTCAATAAATAACATTTAAATGTGTAATGTAGATACCAGAGCTTAATGAACAACTCTTTGAAAAGGACTGGAACCCAGGACTGTAGGGCAGGAATGCTATACTATCTCTGATTTAAGTCTAAGGGGTACACTTCAAAGAGCCAAGCATCTCAAACAAGTAATAAATAACCCACAAAGAAAGCGTATATGAAAATGGTTTCCATGAGAAACACATGGAACCTGAAAACATTGTTTTGTATAATAAACATATAATTATTGATTGAAAAGTTTTAATTAACCAAAGAAGACAAAAATTGAACTATGCAGCAAAACACAAACTTTCTACTGTATTAATTTAAAAAAATATAATATCATGGAAGGAGACTAATATTTACCTGAAGAAGAAACCGCACTAAGGTTTTAAATACTCATATGAATCTCATAAAAGCAACATTATCAAGGCGAAAGAAATAGAAAATTCTCTTTTATACATTGGCTTCTTTTCTTGGAAAGAGTTACTTTTTATGGCTTTTATTGTGAAAGGCATTTAAACATGGTGATTGAGAAAGCACAAGTATTTCTGGGTAAGGTTGAAGACCCATTTGCTTATTATCTTTCAACTTCTGTACTATAACTCTGGCAAATTCTTCTCCTTGAATGTCAGTGGTATCTAATAACTGTCTGACTTTTGAGGTCCTTGTCGGTTTGGTACTAATGAGTTCATAGTCCTCCTTCATTATCAAATCTCTGGACAGGAGGGCGTCTAGAGATTGGTTAAGGCAGGCTTCGGTCATCTGGCTCACAATGTCTTCCCTTTTACTCTGGATCCACTGTTGGGCTATACCAGGCTGAAATCGCCCTGTAGAAAAGCAATGACAGGTAAAAAGGTGGGGACAGATATACAGCTATGAGTAAAATCAGATGAAAAACAAAATAATAAGGCGTAAAAGCTAATTTTTCTGTAATTATGCTAATATGGAACAGCAGTATTTTGAAAGATGCTATTAATTTTCAGGAAACATTCAGATATTTCAATTCTCTCTTCCCTTCCCCTCCAAGAAAATGCACTGCATTTTTACTCTCTGTAAATCATGGAAGCAAATGTCACTTTTTTTCAGATTTTTTTAAAAAACATAAAGGATATTTGATAAATAAAAATATATTTACTTTAGTGACATTTAAGTGACATTTAGTGACATTTAGTGACATTTAAGTCACACCTCCTCTGAGCACTCCCTCCCTAGACATACCGTTTAGGCCTGTGTTCACATGTTAACACTCATGTCTTCAGGGATTGGAGTGCTTTCTTACTTTTGGTACGTATATACCATACTGAAGAACACAGAATGTTAAATAGCAAATCTACTGAATATACAGTTGTGAAGTAAACGGCATCACTTACAGTGTTTCACAGCGCATATTTACCTGAGCTTCCCTCAGCTGAGAGAGGACTCACTGTTGCTAAAGAGCATGGGGCGGCTCTGTGATCACAGAATGCTACCCGATGGTCCGCACAAATGTTACTATCCTGACTGTGATTCACTGAGCACTGACGCAGCACAGAAAAATCTGGAGTTTTTCCTATAAAACACAACATCTCCATTAGGGGTAGAATATTCCTATTAGCTAAAATGTGAATGTCTGGATCACACAGAGGGTGGTATTTAATGTCTTTTAATTTTCATTGCATAAGCTCGTTCATAAACCTAACTCACAAGTAAATAGTTTTTAGATCAAAAAGGTTTATGATGTTTTTTTAAAACCATACTTCTGTCTGTGCTTGTCTGTCCTATATAAACTATAAATTATAGAATTTTACTTCTTTATATCATATTTTTTCTTCTGTGTCATCTTCCCCCTTCTGCACTTCAAATGTGTCCTTTGAATTTATATACATGTCTTTCCACAGTTTCCTCTGGCGATCTTATTAAACATCAATGTCTCAATGGTCACCTCCCTTTCCAAATCCATGTAATTGAATTTTCTGTCTTCACTGAACCTTAAGTCTTTCATTTTCAACAGGACATAACCCTCATATACGCTAAGCACCTCAAATTGTAAAACGTTAAAAACAATTATTCATCTTAACTCTAAAACCCATTTCAACTCCTATTTCTGTTAACAGCACCAATGTTCTTCCAACTAAACTTGTTCAAAGCTTTATCTTTATGTTCACCTTTTTTCCCTCTATTCTCTCCTACAAATGAAAAGTTGTCAAGTCCTATCAGTGTGCCCTCTGTAACACTTCTCACACCATTCTCCTCTTCTTATATTCTGGAGCAGGTTTCATAATTTCTCATGGAGTACATTAATAGACCAATAGACCAACAGTCTCCTAACTCGGAGAAAGCACTGGCACCCCACTCCAGTGCTCTTGCCTGGAAAATCCCATGGATGGAGGAGCCTGGTAGGCTGCAGTCTGTGGGGTGGCTAACAGTCGGACACGACCAAGCGACTTCACTTTCACTTTTCACTTTCACACATTAGAGAAGGAAATGGCAGCCCACTCCAGTGTTCTTGCCTGGAGAATCCCAGGGACAGGGGAGCCTGGTGGGCTGCCGTCTGTGGGGTCGCACAGAGTCGGACATGGCTGAAGCGACTTAGCAGCAGCAGCAGTCTCCTAACTGGGCTCCCCACCTTGAATCTCCTTTCCCTTCCAAAATATCCTACACATTCCAGCCAGGATGAATCTTTCTAAGGAAAAAAAGTTTATCATGTCACACATACCCTTGCTCAAAAATTTGCAATAGTTGCTTCCTACCCAAGCAAATGAGTCCAAATGGCTTAGCCTAGTATTAGAAATCGTCCTGATGAGTCCACCCTCCTCATCTTTGATTACCTTTCATTCACCATCTTCGCCAGCTAGACCCAACTACTCACTGTTCTCTGGGTTTTCTTGCTTCTTTGCCTCTATGTAGTTCCTTTTGCCTGGAATGCCCATCCTTTATAACTATAGGTCCAACTTTCAGCCAGAAATAATTTCTTCATGATGACAACATGGTGTAGTAGAGTGACATGAAAATGTTTATCAAAGAGACCTGGGTTCAAATCTTGGATTTGCCAGTTACTAACTATGTGATCCAGCAGTCTTGATCTTAAGAATCTGTAAAATGAGGAATATCTCCCTCACAAGGTTGTTGTGAAAGTACTTTATAAAAATGTTACTTTTCTGCTATACTACCATAGCGCTACATCCCTGCATCTCACACAGTACGCTGCTGTTTATCTACTGCTCTGGTGACTTAGAAATATTTTCCTTCTTTCTTATAAGATATTTTAATAAATATCTTTCTGTGGTGTCTAACAGAATGCCCTTATAGGTAAATGCATCTCTTTAACGTCCCACACTGTTTTCACATCTTCAGACTGTCACTTTAAAAAACAAGTTATGAATGCAAACCAAAGACGTGTTCCATACGAACCATGGCTACCTGCAAGAATAGGGTCTGGTAAGAAAACTGAAAACTTATAAGTAATAACTGACTGAAAAATATACACACCAGATGAAAAGTCATTTTCTTGAGGAGCTGACAGGGACCTTGAGGTCCCAGGAGAACCACTAGTTTTATGGAGCTGAGAGGATCCACACGATTCCTAAAATAAAGAGAAGATAAATTATTTATGTTAATGCAAAATTATTTAAAAAGTTATACAGCTTTAATTTCCAAACAGGTCTTGCTTTTGGCTTATTATAAATAAAGAATCAAGACTAACACAGATTATACTTTACAAAATTAAACACATGTATGAAATAACAAAAAGCAAAGTGAACTTGATTTATCAGGTCGATTGGGTGGGTGGGGCAATAGTTAAATATACTAGAAATCATTATTTTTTCAATATTTTGTATATAATCTCACAGATTGTCCAGCTGACGAAAAACTTGAGATCTGTTAACTCTGATTACCTAATACTGATTCAGATCAAATGCCTATTCTCAAGCCTCAGGTTGCTTCAACATGCAGGAGCCGAAACTCACGGAAGAAGTATACTGAACTTGGATCCAATCCTAGCTGTGCCATGGAATCACTGCCTAACCTTTGACAAGGCATTTACATAATCTGATTCTCAGGTTCTTTCTATATACCTATCTAAAAACGTGCATGTATGGGCTCAAAGATTCAAGAGATAGCATATGTAAAGACTACATACTGTGTTTTATGGTTCATTTTCAAGGTATTATTACTCTTCTGAATCTGTAAAGAGAACAATCTTATATGTTCCTAAAAGAAATGATTAATGTGAAATAATCTGAATAAATGCTACTAAAGAAATCCTTCTCTTTGAACAGCCACATAAATGGCATTTTCCCTTTATCCAGTCATTGTAAAAAGTTAAGAACAAGTCAGGTAGTACAGCTTATAGTGGCAGAAGTATATCAATGATTTGCCTATGTACTACCCTGGGACACCAGTCTTCACATAAAACGATGACAGGGACAGAATTCAACGCCCAAGAAAGAAGCGAGCACTGTGATTTGATGAGATGAACCAAACTGGAGACTGCCATCTTAAAATCCTAAAACCTCCCTGGACTTGAGCTTCTCATCTATAAAAGAGCGAGATAGACTAAATGATTTTTCATGTTCTTGTCACATTTTGAGTTTAATGAGCATAGTTGTTTGTTTTTTTTTTTACCTCCTGTGGACCAGAATTTTCAGGTATGTTTGGAGATAACTCCCTTTTCTTCTTGTCACTTAAGTGAACAGTTCTTGAAGCATTCTGTAACTGAAATACATACATACATACATGTGTTTGAATTAGAGGTGATTAGAAAGTTATATGAGTAAAATACAATCTACTTAACATATTTTAAATGTTTATGCAAAATCAATGGAAAGAAAAGCTCAATCAGTTGAGAATATAATATCTAACTTAAAGGTAGAGATAGTGTAGAATAGGGGAAATAACCTTAACCTAAGGTTACAATGAAATATGAAGAAAAAACTTTGATTCAGTTTTTACTATTGAAGATATAAGAGATGCTATCCATGAAAACATGTATTATAGGAGCCAGTTCAAAGAAAAAAATGAAAGTTTAAACAAAACAACTCACCCCAAATGGTGATCTTTGTTTTCAGAAGTTTCTTTATGAAAAATCTTATTATCTTGTTAAATTTGTATTCTATTCTTGGCCCTGCCATTAGCTAGCTGTGTAGACTGTCATATGACTTATTTCCCTATACCTCAGTTATTTCGTCTATAAAATGGAGATGATATTCTTTCCCTAAGAGTTTTAGAGAATTGATACCAAGATTCCAAAAAAAGAAAAATGTTAACTAAAACAGCTCTGAGTGAAAACAATACCTCAACTTAACACTGACTAAAGACAGTAATGCTATTATTAAATGATAGTCAAGTATTTGAAAATACACACTTTATTTAAGAAGTAAAAATTTCTCCCCCAAATTAACAGTTTTAAATATAGATCCTAGTATTTAAGTTGGCTGGGGACAAAAAAGGAACTGAACTGCTTTTCTTCCAGTTCAGTTTTTTATAATCAAGGTGGAAAAGGTACAAGAAAAGAGATCCTTTTATCCACTTTTGCTTGGCAAAAGAGCAGCAAGATGTAAGGAAAGGAAAGGGAACTGAAAAGACAAAGCAAAAAGAAATATTATCAGAAGTCTGTTTCTACTGTGAAGTGGAGAGACTAGAATGTCTGGAAAAGACTACCTATTCAGAAGCAGGGAAGTCAACGAAAATTTATCAAAATATTAAAACACAGTTCCTCAAAACATTCAGGCACTAATACTGCCAACATCAATTTTAAGTTTGAGTGAGGGCAGTTGTTTCCTTTATGTACTTCCTTTTTAAACCAAAATTTTATGGTTATTGTTTATGCACTTCCCTTTTAAACAAAAATTATGTTAACAGATCCACAAACTGCAAGAGGCAAGCAATGTCATTTAGTGATAAATCAATGGTAGATTATGCCTGTCACAGCCTAACAATTCAGCTAATAAATGACAGTTATTATCATATCCCAAATGCTATTTTGTGAAATCCAGCAAGTGTTAAACTAAGCTGACTTTGTCCCTAAAGGATGTAGTTGCTCTTTAAACAGTTTTTAATAACAGCAAGAAAACCCTGCAGTAATAGGTCCCTTCAGTTGTTCTTCTGATTTACAAGAGCCAGAATGAGTAAATGAGACAACCATTCTAGGTAATTCATATCAACTGCTACTTCGGTCCATGCAACATGGAGTGTCTGAGTGGGAAAACACAAATAAGCAATAAAACATTCACATTTTGGTCTCAATTATTAATAAAAATTCTATAGCTTAATTTGGCAATAAACCTCTGAAAAACCCAAGAAACCTGAATAAAGGTAAGTACAATAATCCAGGCATCTCTTACTCTATGTATCAAAACTTTTGGGAAATAAACATAGATTGATTAAACAACAGCAACAACTGTGGTAATTTAGGGTAATAATTATACACAACAGGCACTCATTGCACATTTCAAATTTACATTTGATATATGGGAGGTCTGAAAATGTCTTGGAAATCTGGAGGTGGCTGTTTGAATGAAATGGAGAAGTTCTTTGGTGACAGATTTAAGACCGCATTCATACTCTCTAATAAATTCTACTGCCTCAGTACTGTAGCCTGTATCTGTGGAAGGTACAAAACTAAAGGAAAAAAGAAAAAAAACTAAAGTCTCCATGACTTAAAGCTTTAAGTTTCTAACATTTCATATGACAATTTACCTTTGTTTTCTTTAGCTGAATAACAGCTTCAAGAAAAGTTATCTCTTCAAATGTTCTCAAAACTGGTTCAAGTTCTATTAAACATTCTAAATAAGAAAAAAAGAGCTCAGGTTGCTTATAACCATTAAAATGAAAAACATAAATGCTAATATTACATGATAAGGCCTTTTTTAAGTCAATTTTTTCCCAAATTGACATTCAAATGACATTCAAAATCATTAGAATGTTTACTGCCAAAATAAGAATGTTTATTATAGGTATAAAGATAGATATATCTAAATAAAGACAGATCAATGGAATATAATTGAGAGTCTAAAAATAAGCCTTTGCAAGTATGGTCAATTATTCTTTGACAAAGTTGCTAAGATAATTCAACGAGGAAAGGACAGTCTTTTCAACAAATGTTGGATACCCACACGAAAACAAGATTCTAGACTCTTACTTCACAACATACAAAGAATTAACTTGAAATGGACTATGCAATATGGACAGAGGAGCCTGGAGGGCTACATCCCATGGGGTTGCAAAGAGTGGGACAGGACTGAAGTGACTTAGCATGCATAAAACTGACTACGCACCTAAATGTAAATATAGGTGGAAATCTTCATTGCCTTGAGTTAGGCAAATAATTCCTAGGATATGGTATCAGAAACAGGATCCATAAAATATCTTTGATAACTGGACTTCAAAAAAGTTGAAACACTTACATTAAGAAAAATGATGCATTAAGAAAAACAATGCTATTAAGAAAAATGAAAAGACAAGCCCCAGACTAGGAGAACACGTTTACTTATTATGGATCTGGTAAAGAACTTATATCTAGAATATAAAAAGAACCCTAACAACTGAAGACAAATAACCCAATTTAAAAATGAGAAAAGGATTGAATTTCAGCAAAGGAGACACACAGATAGCTAAAAAGCACATGAAAATATGCCTAAACACCATTAGTCATTAGGAAATGCAAATTAAAACTACAGTGAGGTATCACTCCATACTCACTAAAATAGCTGTAATTAAAAAGACAGACAATAACAAGTATTGACAATGATGCAGAGAAAAGGAAAACCTCACACATTGCTGGTAGGAACGTATCACGATGCAGCCGTTTTGGAAAACAGCTTGGTGATTTCTTTAAAATGAAGGATAAATTTACCACACAACCAAGCAATGCCACTCATAGGTCAGAGAAACAAAAACATATGTTCACACACACATGTGCGTGTGAACAGTCATAGCAGCATGATTAGTAATAGCCAACAAGCATAAACAGTTATAATTCTGCTATTACTACAATAATATACAGACATGCTGCTCAAGGGAGAGGTCAGGGCTCCAGAAATAAAACTGAGCATCAAGAAGGTAGAGATGGTATAAAAGCCATGGTTTGGGCTGGATCGTCTAGGGAGAAAGTGCAGATGGAAAACAGTAAAGGACCGTATTAAGCTGTGAGCCATTCCAACAGTTAGACGCTGGGCAGAGGAAGAGAGAGAGAGAGGAAGAGACGATAATAGGGAGGGAGCGTGGTCTCTGGTGCCTTGGAAGCTATCAGAGGGAAAGTTTTGAGGAGGCGAAGAGTCAGCCAGGACTCTTCTGCTGAGAGGCTAAGTGAGATAATCAGTATTTCAACAGTGATTTCCTTGGTAACTTGATCCAACACAGCTTTAGTGGCAATATGAAACAGAAGACTGCTGTAAGTCTGTTAATAAATAAATTAGAAGGGAAGAAGTAGAGACAACAAATATGGACAATTCCTACAAAGTGTTTAGATCTAAATGCGAGTGGAAAAATTAGGTGGTAGCTGAAGGATGATGTGGGGTCAAGAGTTTTTGTCCTATATAAAGATAGGATCTAACAGTATAACAGATCTGTATGACGTGAGAGATCCAGTACACAGGCAGAGACTGGCAATGCAAGAGCAGAAAGAATGTTAAGAAACAAATGGTGGAGAGAGGAAGAGAATGACATCCAGAGAAGAAGAAACACTGCTTAGAGTTGGATAAGAACACTCTTCTTTCCACTGTAAAAGAGACAGGCAGTAAGACAGGTCAAGTACAACTAAGTTGGTAGATCTGGTAGTGGAACTGAGGGAATTCTCTCTCATGGTTTCTATTTTCTCAGTGCTCAAAAGAAACATGGAACATGGGGTGTAGGAAGCTTAAGAAGGGAAGATATGGTACAATATGGATTACCTGTGTCTTCACTTCCTGAGTTCAGAATCTATTAAGAAAAGCTACCCAATTATGACAGATGGTGATCAAAATATCACCTTTATTACAGATAAAGCTAAATGGAATTATATCCCTTTTTAGATCTGTAGCATATGGGCTTACTAGCAATATTTTGCCCCTTCAACTGGGTTTTACTCACTTAGCTACAGGCCTCACCTGCTTACATATGGGGAAGCAGAAAAATGTATGCATCTTTTAGACAAGCTTACTTCCAAAAGTAGGAGAAAACTGAGGATGGATTAGCTAAGCATGCTTCGTTTTCCTCCAAAGTTAACCAATGAGCAGGAGTTTCGCGGGGCAGACAGAAGCCGGAGATGCTCCTCCCGTGCTCTTCTTCTTGGAGACTGAAATAGGATTTCATCTCCACTTTGGGAACACAAAGTACGGGACTTAGGCATCTCCTGCAGTAGTTCAAGAAGATCATCTAGGACAGTAATTTTCAAACTTTTGGGTCTCAGAACTCTTCAAAATTATCCCAAAGAGCTTTTGTGTATGTTGATCATATCTACTGAGATTTACTATATTAGAAATTAAAACTGAGACCATTTTAAAATGTCAGAGCATATGAAAATACATTACATTATCCCAATGATATCATTACACCTCCTTTAGTCTCTGGAAACTATTTTCCCAGATGATGAGAGTGAAAAGGGAAACAGCACCTTAGTGTTTATTATTTTGGAGAAGCTTCGATTTGTGAGTCCTCTGAGTCTCGGGACCAACCCCACCTCCAGGGGTCCCTGTGCCACAGCTGAAGATAGGTGACCTGTGAGAATGTATTTGAAAACATAGCAGAATGCTAAGTAGTGCTCAGACTTCAGCTTTAGCTATTAAAGAGAAACAGCGAATTTCATTTCTGGACAAGATGAAGCAACAAGGACCAATTCATCCTCCTGTCTTAAATACCCAACAGTCAAACAAAATGCATGAAACAGTGGGTATTAAGACACTAGCTATCAGGCAACAGAAAGGGACAGTGATCTCTGAGTGACGAGAAATAACTGAGGTGAGCCCCACCGCAGCCTGACTGCCCAAGCATCCTGCCCTGAGAGTTTCCAGCTGCACTACAGGGACAGGCAAAAAGGTGAGGCCTGGTGGAACCTCAAAGCTGAAGACACAGGGCTTAGACCTGATCTACCTTAGGGTAGACCAAGGCAGATAGAGTTTATGGGACAGTGTAGGAAAGAGGAGAAGTACGTGTGGGGAGAACTCCAGAGATCTGCAGAACACTCCTCTCAAATATTCAGCAGCACTGACCACTGCAGGATGTAGAAGTCACGAAGCCAGTGTTTTCCATGAACAATTGGGAAAAGCTAGGAAGTCTGCAGAGAATTTAAGTGAGTATTAGTCTTAGAGAAGAGAAGAAACTATTAGCTGCTCAATTGTGTCCAACTCTTTGAGACCCCATGGACTGTAGCCCACCAGACTCCTGTGTCCATGGAATTCTCCAGCCCAGAAAACGGGAGTGGGTAGCCATTCCCTTCTCCAGGGCATCTTCCTGGCCCAAAGAATCTGCCTGCAATGCAGGAGATGAGGGTTTGATCCCTAGGTTGGGAAGATCCCCTGGAGAAGGGAATGGTTACCCACTCCAGTATTCTTGCTGGAGAGAAGTAAAGTAAGTTTTGACTAATGATACGATCTTCAGAAAAGCTAGAATCTTTAGGGAATGGAGAAGAAATTACAGTTTGAAAGTGGCACTGGGGACAAAGGAGATATATGTATCTGCTATTAAATGGTGCTTGGAAATAAGAGATAAAATGCTAATCCATTATTACAGCAAATTTTGATTTTTTTAAAGTACAATGCTGATGAGCACTAGACATAAGTTTTGAATGCAAAATATATTTCATTATTTTTCTAGTTGGAAAGAAGATTCCCAGTTTATAGCTTGTCTTTTCATTTTCTGTAGCATCTTTTGAAGTGTAAAAAGTTTCAATTTCTTTGAAATTCAATTATCAAAATTTTTTTTAATAGATCTTGTTTTTGATGTTATATATAAGAGCTCTTGGGTCAACCCAAGGTCATGAAGATTTTCTTCTATGTTTATATTCAGGTGATGATCCATTGTACCTCTGAAATATATCTTAATTCTATCTGATTTTTTGATTTCCAGGATTGGTCTAGAGATTCTACTCTTGTCCTGCTCCAATCAATTTTTTACACAACAGCAAATAGCTCCTAAACTTTAAATTTATCATGTTCTTTCTCTGAAAACTTGTATTTGGAATAAACTTCTAATCTTTTTATGATAGCCAACAGTCTCTCCTTATCACTTCAATCTCATCTAATAAAAATGACTGAATTTAAAAAAAAAACCAAACTTTTGACTTCGTCATCTAACTTGTGACTGTTCAAGGAATACTTTATTTACAGCATATTCGCTATTTTTGTAATTCACAAGGTCCAGATTAAAACTGTACACTTACTTAAGAAAGACGGTCTTTCATCTGGATTCTGCGCCCACCCACTTTCCATTAGAGAGACCATAAGTGCTCGATGAGGTATATCAGACGGCAAGCTTTCTTCATTAATGTCAGGTCGATGTCCTTGTGACACACCATACATAATCTGCAAAGGGTTAGTGACGTCTGCCAAAGCAAACGGAAACACATTTCATTCATCAGAAGCATATTATGGTCTCATGCATTCATTACATTCTAACCTCACCCAATGAAAATCAGAGAAATCTTAAAAACCTCAGGAAGAATTCATTACCTCCCTTTCTGTCAAAGGAATATCTACATCCCAGCTATGCCCAGACTTACAGGAGGAGTTTATAGCTTCACCTCTTTAATTCTGGGCTTGGCCGCGTGATCTGACTGGGCCAATGGAATGTGAAGACAGCAGAGCAAAGCAGAGCTGAGCGGAGCTAGCGGAGCGGGGAAGAGTCACGGCAACTAGTCGTCCAGTGTGGACAAGACATTATCGCGTTCAGTCTGTCAGCTGCTGAGACTCTGAGGCGGTCACACAGCAAACTGACCTGAACGGACCTCAAAGAAACAGACGGCATTGTCAGAAAATGTGCAAGTCATTCTTCAATGTCTGCTGGTCTTCAGAAGGAGCACTAATTAAATTTTCATATAAAGATTTTGTAGTTGGAATGAACCTTAGAAATAAGAATTCAAAATTCTTATTTTGCAGATGAAAAAAATGAGGACTTAAGAGATTCAGCGGCTTAATAATGGAGTTAATTACTATCAGAACAAAATGAATCTATATTTCTCCAATCTTAAATTCAGTATTTTCCAATATACATGGGATTTACATTGATAAATTGTTATGCTTTCCTAGTGTGTTTTCCACAAAATGAATGCTAGACAGATTTAAAATAGGCGATCTTTATTTAGACAGTTCTGAGTATGATTTCCAACATGATATCATAATAAGGAAGTCAAAGTACACTTACCTTCAAAAGGCTGCTTTCTGGATAAGACTTCCCAGGTAATAATTGCATAGCTGTTTAAGATAAAACATACATACAGTAACTATGCATAATAAGCTAAATAGTACCGATTTTAAAAGCTGACAGTGGAGATACCAGTTTTGAAAATAATAATGTAGTGAAATGCTGCTTAAAGAATCACTATATAGAACCAAGATGCTGAATATTTGTATACAGTTTTACTTTGAAAGGAAAATAATTCAATTTGAAAAATTAGGAAATTAGTACAATAAAAACAAAGTAATAAGCAAGGATAACTTGTGGATGATTCATTAATACTACGTCCTTTAATTACATGATTCTATTATTCACACAAAATAAAGAGTAACACAAAAGAATGTCTCAGGTAGCCCTATTCTACTGACTTTTTCTGGTGTGAGTACGGTCTCCTTTGGTAAAGTTATATGTTATTCACAATGTTTCCCTCCCTCTCTCAAGGTCACATATGATAAAAACCCTTGAATATTACAAATTAATAGAATAATAGACATGTTTTAATATTTTTTAAGGATGTAAACGTAGCTTAAAGCGAGGCACCTTTATTTTTATATTTTTTTATTTTTACTTTTTGGCTGCTCCGCACAACTTGTGAGATCCGTTTCCTGAGCAGGGATTAAACCTGGCTCATGGCAGCAAAAGCCTGGAATCTTAAATCACGAAGATGCCAGGGAATTCCTTAAAGCAAGGCATTTTTAATTTGAAAAATATTAACCACTGTCTCTAATCTATTTTCACCACACCTATGACAGAAGCATAAAAATCATCCTTTTAAACTGTAGCTTCAAAGACAACAACAACAACAACAACTGTAGCTTCAAAACTCTGATTGATTAATCTTATGGAGAAGGAAATGGCAACCCACTCCAGTACTCCTGCCTGGAGAATTCCATGTATGGAGGAGCCTGGTGGGCTACAGTCCATGGGGTTGCAAAGAGTCAGACACAATTGAGTGACTTCACTTCACTTTAGGCAAAGTTAACTCTGAGCAAAAGTAACATACTGTACCTATATATATCGTGCTTGACAGAAGCCCTTGCTTTCTGTCCGGGTTCATAGTTTTCAGGTGGCATATAAACAATTGTCCCTCCTTCTGGTGCAGACTTACTACTTCGTGATTGTGAAAGGGACAATTTACGCCATTTTGATAAACCAAAATCTGCAATCTGGAAGGGAAAAGAGTAATTTAAAAATTTTCTTTTTTAAAAATCCAGGAATTGTTTGCCTTTCTTTATATTTATTGTGTTTAGACATGAGACCAGAATAAATGCTATATATACCCATATATATTAATATTTTATTTCTATATATTCCACCAGTCTCTTAACAAATTGGATTCCATAGTGCTGAACCTGACAACTCTAGAAGCAACACAAACTGACTTAAGAGTTCAGTATAATATCACAAGTTTTAAAAGAAACTAAGATTTGAAAAATTAAATAGAAGTATTTTTTGTGTTTAGAATAAAAGAATAGAATGAGTATATCCATTTTACTTTTTGTGACAAGTAACTTTATATCATGTGCTTTCAAAATTTACCCATACCTCACAAAACGCTAAACTACTCATATCTAATATGACTGTCACTGTGTATATGTTCTTCTTTATATGTGCTTAAAATAGTACTTTTATATTTTGAAATAAGTAAAATTCCATTAAAGTATAACTCATTATTATATGACTTTTGCTTACCACTAAAAGAATATCTGTTGACAATAGTGTAGTTAGCAATATAACATATTTATGTCCATGCCAAGTGGTACCTAAAGAATTGTCAGTGACTGACATTCTGTACTTTTGACATGTCCTTTATAGTTATACTTCAGTTGAAAATTTTGTGCAGATACTACACAATATTTTGTAACTATCTATAATGTTCTAATATTTTTAAAAAGGGAGACAAAAATGTAAGAACAGAAACAATATTTAATGAACAAAAAAGTATAAGGAAAGCTTTGAAGACATTTAATTTAAATTACTTAGACCTTAAACTGTGTCATTTAGGAGTTGACAGAGTGGAATGAGTTCCATCCGCCGTCCACCACACCATTTGTGTTTCAATCATTTAACTCTTAAAATACTTACAAGCTTTAACAGAAGAAATAATTTCTTTAGTGTTTAGATGAATCTGAGATTAAAAAATTATAGCCCTACTCCAAAAAGGGATGGAGGACTACACAAATCTTTCATATATTACCATAATGAAAGGGTAAACTTAAGAAAAAAAATTAGAAAAGACCAAGAGAAAAAATGGTGCCACGACATGAAGAGCTAAACTGGACTGATTTCTAAAGGCAGTGCAAGATGTTATTTAGTCACTAAGTCGTCCAGCTCTTTTACAACCCCATGGACCTCAGCCTGCCAGGCTCCTCTGTTCAGGGGACTTCCCAGCAAGAATACTGGAGTGGGTTACCATTTCCTTCTCCAGGGGATCTTCCCAACTCAGGGACTGAACCCAAGTCTTCTGCATTAGAGGCGGATTCTTAACCACATAAGCCACCAGGGAAGCTCCACGCAGAAGAGTATTTGACACATAACGGGTGAACCATGTATGTTAGTATTATTAATGTTTTATATACAGGAATAAACCTCTAAAGCTTGCTCTTATTCATACAATACCAACAACAGAGAATGCAGTTTGAGGGTCTTTAATCTAAACTTTTAGGTGTAATTAAGACTCTGGGCCTCTTGAGAAACCTATATGCAGGTCAGGAAGCAACAGTTAAAACTGGACATGGAACAACAGACTGGTTCCAAATAGGAAAAGGAGTACCTCAAGGCTGTAGATTGCCACCCTGCTTATTTAACTTGTATGCAGAGTACATCATGAGAAATGCTGGGCTGGAAGAAGCACAAGCTGGAATCAAGACTGCCAGGAGAAGTATCAATAACCTCAGATTTGCAGATGACACCACGCTTACGGAAGAAAGTGAAGAGGAACTAAAAAGCCTCTTGATGAAAGTGAAAGAGGAGAGTGAAAAAGTTGGCTTAAAGCTCAACATTCAGGAAACTAAGATCATGGCATCTGGTCCCATCACTTCATGGGAAATAGATGGGGAAACAGTGGAAACAACGTCAGACTTTATTTCTTTGAGCTCCAAAATCACTGCAGATGGTGACTGCAGCCATGAAATTAAAAGACGCTGAGTGGCTCAGAGGGTAAAGTGTCTGTTTGCAATGCGGGAGACCTGGGTTCGATCCCTGGGTTGGGAAGATCCCCTGGAGAAGGAAGTGGCAACCCACTCCAGTATTCTTGCCTGGAAAATCCCATGGACGGAGGAGCCTGGTAGGCCATAGCCCATGGGGTTGCAACGAGTTGGACATGACTGAGCAACTTTGCTTGCTTGCTACTCCTTGAAAGGAAGGTTATGACCAACCTAGACAGCATATTAAAAAGCAGAGACATTACTTTGCCAACAAAGGTCTGTCTAGTCAAGGCTATGGTTTTTCCAGTGGTCATGTATGGATGTGAGAGTTGGACTGTGAAGAAAGCTAAGTGCCGAAGAACTGATGCTTTTGAACTGTGGTGTTGGAGAAGACTCCTGAGAGTCCCTTGGACTGCAGGAGATCCAAGCAGTCCATCCTAGAGGAGATCAGTCCTGGGTGTTCATTGGAAGGACTGATGCTGAAGCTGAAACTCCAGTACTTTGGCCACCTCATGCGAAGAGCTGACTCACTGGAAAAGACCCTAATGCTGGGAGGGATTGGGGGCAGGAGGAGAAGGGGATGACAGAGGATGAGATGGCTGGATGGCATTACTGACTCGATGGGCATGAGTTTGAGTACACTCTGGGAGTTGGTGATGGACAGGGAGGCCTGGTGTGCTGCGATTCATGGGGTAGCAAAGAGTCGGACACGACTGAGTGACTGAACTGAACTGAAGACTCTGGGCAACTGTATCCCAGTTACTCTTACTTGCCACTACAAACTCTTATTCCTCTCACTCATCCTCTAAAAGCAAAAACAGTGCTACAGTTACACACTGGCTAGGATAATAAGCATTACTATGAGAAGGCAAAGAGTGCTGAGTGCCAAAGAATTGAGGTTTTCGAATTGTGGTGCTGGAGGAGACACTTGAGAGTCCCTTGGATTGCAAGGAAGTCAAATCAATCAATCCTTAAAGAAATCAGCCCTCAATATTCACTGGAAGGACTGAAGCTGAAGCTGAAGCTCAAATACTTTGACCACCTGATGCGAAGAACTGACTCACTGAAAAAGACTCTGATGCTGGGAAAGACTGAAGGCCAAAGGAGAAGGAAATAAGACAGCATCGCCTACTCAGTGGCCATGAATCTGAGCGAACTCTGGCAGTTAGGGAGGACAGAGGAGCCTGGTGTGCTGCAGTCCACGGTGTCACAGAGCCCAACACAACTTAGCGACTGAACAGCAACAGGTTCTTATACCTGAACCACACATTGCAAACTACTGGGCTAAATACTGGTTTGAATACAGTGCTGCAGAAAATGTATTCTTAGTTTGCTTATGTGCTCCTTTTACTTCACATTTGTGTTTTAAAACCTTATCTAGAAAAATTAATCAGAATTCCCTTTATCAGTTAATTTAGTTTGGTTTTCACATGAAACTACATTTCTTCCCCTTCTCTATCACAAACACCATATACAAAAGACATGATTCATTAAATCTGGATCTTCCAAAGAAGAGAAAAAGTGAAGAATACGAGAGGAATACAAGTTCTATGATTTCTTGAGCATCCTGAAATATTTGTCATTCAACAGTAAAGACAGAGAATAGGAACTTTTCATTTCTACACAAGATCTTAACATACATTTTAAAGGTAATGGATCTGTTTAGTTAAAAACAGATAACACAACAAGAGTTTATTGCATAGCACAGAAAACTATATTTAGTATCTTATAATAACCTATAAAGGAAAATAACCTGAAAAATATATAAAATTGAATCACTTTGCTGTATAACTCAAACTAACATAATACTGTAAATCAACTACACTTCAATTAAAAAAATTTTAAAAATCAGATGAAATTAAAACACTTTGTTCATAAAAGTCATCCCGAATCCTACCACCCTATCAGAATAGCTATTTTCATTTACATAATACTATCTGTCTCTATAAAACTATGAAGTTATCATCAGTAAGAAGCTATATGGAAGACCTTCCAAGCAGTCTGGTTTCCACACAGGACTGACAGAATAGTAAAGAAATCAGACATGGTACATATAAATATTTATTTCAAACAAGCCTATCATGGGTTCATTTGTATTTAAGGTGCACAAATAGATACTGAGACTTCCCTGGTGGGTCAGATGGCAAAGTGTCTGCCTGTAGTGCAGGAGACCTGGGTTCGATCCCTGGGTCAGGAAGATCTCCTGGAGAAGGGAATGGCAACCCACTCTGGTATTCTTGCCCACCCCCATCCCCCCCCAAAAAGGGGTTCAATGGAACATTGGAGAAGGAAATGGCAACCCACTCCAGTACTCTTGCCTGAAGAGTCCCATGGAGGGAGGAGCCTGGTAGGCTACAGTCCATGGGGTTGCAAAGAGTTGGATACGACTGAGCGACTTCACTTCACTCAATAGATACTGACTAGCAGACCAACAAATTGAATGTATTCTTTTTAAAGTAGAAAAGTCTTGATTGATCTTAACTAGTAGTAAATATTTTTTTTCTAGATACTATTAATAAGTTTCTGATTAATATTACAGTGAGAAAATTTACTTAAAAAAAAACTAACAAGATGTGAGGTTCCATTTAATCTCATTAAGTACTTCAAGAGATTTTTTTGTATTTCATTTAAATGGCTCTTTCAAGAAGACAGGTAGATAGGATAACTTAATTTTTCATGAGTCATGGAAACTATGACTTTTAAAGGGCATTTATAAAATAAAAAGTAGAGACACACAGGATACATATAAAAGAGTGTCACTAACTTATAAGAACCGTATTAGAATGGTCACAGTTTTGCATGTGCTAAGAGCAATAAAAATTAAAAAGAAACACACACACACAAAGCCAAACTATTTTAAATTCTATTCATGTCAAAGAAATACTATGAAAAAGTATTCAATGAAAAAGAGAAAGTAGGGATCATAACACCTATTTGCTTCTGTCCTCTCTATCAAGGATGGTTTCTGTACTGAGATGAAGAAAATAAAGTCCAAGGAGGTTGAAAAGTTTATAAAGTACAAGCCTCAGTTCATTTTACACATATTTCAGGTTTAGTTAGAATACTAGCAAATACCTCCACGGTGAGATAAAAAGTTACAGAACAGAGAATAGCATTTGTTTTGTTGAAGGTCTGTATGGACATCATGAGCTGACCCATAAGGAGAGCTGCAAACACAAAAGGTCCAAGAGACTTGCCACCACCATCCACACCCTCTCGCCTTTTAGCATAAAAACAAAAGCCTGAATTCTAGCGTGGGTGAGGCGGTTCTTTGGGACACTCATCCACCATCTTCTCGGTCTACTGGCTTTCCAAATAAAGTTGCTATCCCTTGCCCCAACACCTCATCTGTTGATTTATTGGCCCTGTTGCATGGTGAGCAGTATAAAGTTGGACATGGTAACAATGACACTTGGGAAAGCAGTCAGAGAAGGACTTTTGTAACACTTGTATGAAAAAAAAGGAGAAAAATGGGCTGTGTAACGGCTCTTTTAGGAGTATGCCAAAGAAAACGAATGCTTATTCTCCAGAAGTCCTAATTAAGAAAAGGCCTGATCTCGACCTGAAGGGAGGTTTCAGCACCATGCTGTGTACGCTCTGATTTGGGCACTGTATTGGGTAACAGGTAATCATGACTTGAAGATACAAAAAGTAGCTAATTAAATTTGAGGATGACACAAAGCTAGAAGACAAAGTTAAAAAAAAGGTCATGACAACAAAAGCATGATCACAAAAGAAAAAAATTAAAACTTTTGCTTTATGAAAGACCTTGCTAAAAAGGATGAAAAGAACAAACTCTGTACTGGCAGGAAAGATCTGCAAACTATCAATACATATCTGATGAAGGACTTACATCTATAAAATACATAGAACTTTTAAAACTCAATAGTAAAAAAGCAAAGAGTCCAAGTAGAAAATGGTCTTAAGATCTGAAGACACACATCACTGAAAAGGATATAGAGATAGCAAATAAATAAATAACACTATTCAACATCATTGGGAAATGAAAATTAAGATCATGGTGATATATCACTATACATCCATTAGAATGCCAGAATAAAAAGCTGTGATAATACCAAATGCTGGTGAGGGTGCATACAATGGGTCTTTCATACATTGCTGGTGAAATGTACAATGGTGCAGCCACTGTGGAAAATAGCTAGCTTCTTAAAAAGCTAAACATACTTTACCATATGACCATGCAGTTAAACTCTTGGGCATTTATCTCAGAGGAATAAAAACTTACATTTGTTCAAAAAGTTGTATAGGACTATTCAACGGAGCTTTATTTTAACTGCCAAAGGCTAAAAATAACCAAATCTCTCTCAATAAGTGAATGGTTAAACAACTCTAGTACACCCACACCATGGAATATTATTCATCAATGAAAAAGAAACCAACTCTTGACACAAGCAAAGACTCAAATGGATCTCAAAGGCCTTATGCTAAATGAACAAAGCCAATCTCAAAATATCATACACTGTATGATTCCATTGTCAAAACAACAAAATTATAGAAATGAAAAACAGATTACTGGTTGACAGTGGTTAGGGATGATGGAGGGAAGGTGAACCTGACTATAAAGGGATAATATAAGTGGTATCTTTGTTGTGATAGAATAGTGCTGTATCCTGACTGCCATAATAGTTACAGAAATTTACACAAGATAAAGTGAAACAGAACTACAAACTACGTATGTGCACTGTACCAATGTCAAATTCCTGGCCTTGAAATGGAACTATAATTATATGTGATGTAACCACTAGTAGAAACTGGGTGAAGGGTACATGAGACTTCTTTACTTTGCAACCACCTAAGAATCTCTAATAATTTCAAAATAAAAATTAAATAAAGGTATACTTAACAACTTAAACTAAGAATATAATGACCTTGTATCTGAACCGTAGTTTTATCAATATCTGTAGTCTAGGAATAACTAACCCACTGCAGCAGGAAGAAGTGGCACTGAATTAGGGGCCATGGAAAAGGCAGAGATATTAAACCAGCAAGGTAGAAAAATTAACTAAAAAGTCTTTAAAACTATTAAACATAAGGATGCAGATAAGCTTTTTTGAAAAACAGTAATTACCTTAACATGAAATTCATTATCCAATAAGATGTTTTGAGTCTTCAGGTCATGATGAAGTAGAGGAGGATTCATATTGTGCAGGTAATTTACACCTAGAGCAATTTCATGCAGAATACGAAATCTCAATGGCCAAGGAACATCAGGATACTCGATTTTCTTCATATATATGAAAATAAATAAAACTAAAATTAGTGGCCAAATTTATTTCCACTTTGAAAATGAAATATTCCATGAGGAATAGTATAAATTAAATATCTAGTATAACTAAGTATAGGGCAAAATATACTTATTTTATTATATAGTATCTGTTTGACATTCTTTAACATCCTCGGATCTTATTTGCCTTACAGAGAAAATAATGACTTTACAGTACTAGTATTTCCTTTTAGTGTATACTAGCAATGTAACTACATGGTATGCGCTCTTTCTCCAGTTGAGATAGTTTATTTTTATATGTATAATACCCAGACACATATATTTATACTCTACAAGTCTTCTCATTCCAGGTTGTTGTTCAGTTGCTAAGTCGTGTTCCACTTACTTGTGATCCCATGGACTGCAGCATGCCAGGTGCCTCTGTTTTCTACTATCTCCTGGAGTTTGCGCTCAAATTTATGGCCATTGAGTTGTTGATACTATCTAATCATTTCATCTTCTGCCACCCCCTTCTTTTGCCTTCAATCTCTTCCAGCATCAGGGTCTTTGCCTATGAGTCGGCCCTTTCTATCAGATGGTCAAAGTATTTGAGCTTCAGCTTCAGCATCAGTCCTTCCAATGAGTATTCAGGGTTGATTTCTTTTAGGATTTACTGAATTGATCTTCTTGCTGTCCGAGGGATTCTCAAGAGTCTTCTTCAGCACCACAGTTCGAAAGCATCAATTCTTCGGCGCCCACCCTTCTTATAGTCCAACTCTCACATCCCTATGTGACTACTAGAAAAACTTTGATTACATGTACCTTTGTAGCAAAGTGATGTCTCTGCTTTTTAATACGCTGAGTTTTGGAGTCCAAGAAAATAAAATCCATCACTGCTTCTACTTTTCCCCCTTGTATTTGCTATGAAGTGACTGGACCGGATGCCATGATCTTAGTTTTTATGACACTAAGTTCCAAGCCTGCTTTTTCACTCACCTTTTTGATCCCCATCAAGAGGCTCTTTAGTTTCTCTTCACTTTCTGCAACTAGGGTGGTATCATCTGCACATCTGAGGTTGTTGATTTCTCTTCCAGCAATCTTGATTCCAGCTTGTGATTCATCCACCTCAACATTTCACATGATGTACTCTGCATAGAAGTTAAATACGCAGGGTGACAATATAGAGCTTTGTTGTACTCCTTTCCCAATTTGGAACCAGTCAGTTATTCCATGACTGGTTCCAAATGTTGCTTCTTGACCCCTACAGGTTTCTCAGGAAACAGGTAAGGTGGTCTGATACTCCCATCTCTTTAAGAATTTTCCAGTTTGCTGTGATCCACACATTGAAAGGCTTTAGCATAGTCAATGAAACAGAAGATGTTTTTCTGGAATTCCCTTGCTTTCTGCATGATCAAATGAATGTTGGTAATCTGATCTCTGGTTCTTCTTCCTTTACTAAATACAGCTTGAAAATTTATAAGCTCTTGGTTCATGTACTGCTAAAACCTAGCTTGAAGGATTTTGAGCATATCCTTGCTAGCATGTGAAATGAGCAAAACTGTATGGTAGTTTGAACATTCTTTGGCATTGCCCGTCTTTGACACTGAAATGAAAACTGACCTTTTCGAGTCTCGTGGACACTATGCATTTCCCAAAGTTGCTGACATATTGAGTGCAGCACTTTAACAGCATCATCTTTAAGGACTTTTAAATAGCTCAGCTGGTATTCCATCACTTCCACTAGGTTTGTTCACAGTAACGCTTAAGGCCCACTCGACTTCACACTCCAAGGTGTCTGGCTCTAGGTGAGTGACCACACCATCACGGTTATCCAGGTCATTAAGACCTTTTTTGTGTAGTTCTTCTGTAAACTCTGGCTACCTCTTCTTAACCTCTTCTGCTCCTGTTAGCTCCTTGCCATTTCTGTCCTTTATCGTGCCCATCCTTGCATGAAATATTCTCCTTGACATCTCCAATTTCTTGAAGAGATTTCCAGTCTTTCCCATTCTATTGTTCATTTAAGAAGGCTTTTTTTTAATCTCTCCTTGCTATTCTCTGGAACTCTACATTCAGTTGGGTATATCTTTCCTTTTCTTCCTTGCCTTTCATTTCTCTTCTTTCCTCAGCTATTTGTAAAGCCTCCTTGGACAACCACTTTGCCTTCTTGCATCCTTTTTGAGGTGGTTTTGTTATTGCCTCCTGTACAATGTAACGAACCTCTGTCTATAGTTCTTCAGGCACTCTGTCTACCAAACCTAATCCCTTGAATCTGTTCATCACCTCCACTGTATAAACATAAGGGATTTGATTTAGGTTATATCTGAATGGCCTTGTGGTTTTCCCTACTTTCTTCAATTTAAGTCTGAATCTTGCAATAACGAGCTCATGATCTTGCCACAGTCAGCTCCAGGTCTTGTTTGGCTGACTGTATATAGCTTCTCCATCCTTGGCCGCAAAGACATAATCTTTTTTTTATATTGACCATCTGGTGATGTCCATGTGTAGAGTTGTCTCTTGGGTTGTTGGAAAAGGCTGTTTGCTATGACCAGCATGTTCTTTTGACAAAACTCTCTTAGCTTTTGCCCTGCTCCATTTGGTATTCCAAGGCCAACCGTGCCTGTTATTCCAGGTATCTCTTGACTTCCTACTTTTGCATTCCATATATAATATAGAAACATTACAAATGTAATGCCTTTATTTCCTGGTACTTACAAATAACAGTCATCTGAATTTTCTTAAATAGTTTTCCTAACCTAAACATTAATACAGCTGTCCAGGAAGATGAACATACTCAGAAGAAGTAGATAATCACTGGGGAAGATGGTAGATGAGTGCTCAACTTGTCTTTTATGATTCCATCCAGAAATTAGCAATGCCCCTTAGGAGGCTCTAGAATTTCTAATGGGCTCCAAATTTGGGTACCAGAGTATCTACTGGGGTGCTGAGGTATGGGAGGAAAACATTAGAATCTATGCTTACATTCAGTCAAAAAAAGGAAATTGTGTTTTGTATCTTAATTGCTGTGTTGGTTACACAAATCTTACACACTGACACTAGTCACTTTACTCTGCCCTTGTTTTAGATCATGCCGTCACAAACAGAATGTGGTGCATCCTAAAATAAAGAGGAAGTCACTCCATGAGTGGTGATAGGGGCATCCATGCTTCCTCATTTGCTTATAGAACATTGTGATGCACCAGAATTTAGGAGTGTTCAGTGACTGGATTTTACAGATTATGTTATTACTCAGTTTTAAGTAAAGCAACCCTCACAAAACAGACCTAGGTATTTAAAAATATTTCTTGAGGGAAACTGCAGGCTAGAGATAATCTTAATAAGGTCAAGCAGACAACAATAGATGAATACACACATTTTGAGAATGAGGACCTCGCCCCCTCAAAGTTGTTTACTAATGGCTTTCACAGTTAAAGACAGAGTAATTGGTATTTTGAGAAAAAGGTAATACGGCTCATGCCATTGCCTATTATTGGAAAAACTCATGTATTTGATACTCAGAGATAGATAATTTGGCCTATTAATTCAGAACTTTGTGAACTGATATTACTAACATTTAATTAGAATACTAAATTGTCTTTAACATAAAATAAAATCTGGCTAAAAAAACAAAATAAAATAAAAGCTGGCTTAAACCAATAATAAACTGTACAGTGTGAAGAGTCTATCTTTTCTCTCTCCTGCTCCTCTCCCACATATATATACCTGTGGATACTGAAATTCAGTGTAAGCCTCAGGAACCTAAGCAGCATAATCTAAGTGACTAGAATGCAGGGTCTGGCTCCACAGTATTTTTAACAACACAAAAGAAGCCAGAAATGGTGAAATTTTACCACTGCAACTATTTGTCATTATTCTTATTTTTGGCTCACATGTAAAACCAAAGCACTGTATAGGTTAACTAACAGAATTCCAGCCATTGAAAATGTATAGTACTTACCCTATGTAGGAGCTCATTTAATGATCCATTTGGCATGTACTCGGTAACCATTCCCAAAAATTCAGGCTCATTGCAAATTCCCAAAATTGGAAGAATGTAACTAAATCGAGCTTTGTGTAAAATTTCAGCTTCTCTAAAGATATCATTTCTTTCACTAAAGAAAAAAAAAAAAGCATAATTATTTCAAAATAATGAAAAATACACAATTATCATGCCCATAATATTAATTAATCCTGGATTCTTTCATTCATTCATTAGCTTTTGACCTCATATAAATTAGGCAACTTTTCTTAGTTTCTTATATTTAAAGGAGGGATAATATCTACCCTACATATTCCATAGGTCTGTTTAGAGATCAAAATAACATATATAAACCACTGACAGAAAAAAGTGCTACATATGGATTAAAACTGTACTTTTCCTAGGAAAGGGAAAGAAGACAATGTTTGTTTATAAAGTACTTGTATTAAAATGACAGGTGCTTGGCCTAATTACATAAGTTTCCATTGTATTAAAATGATAAAATTTGATTAGACTGTTACCTTAAATTTTACAGTTTCCATCAGGTCAGGTCAAGTGAAGTCGCTCAGTCATGTCCGACTCTTTGTGATCCCATGGACTGTAGCCCACCAGGCTCCTACATCCATGGAATTTTCTAGGCAAGAGTACTGGAGTGGGTTGCCATTTCCTTCTCCAGTTAGAGTTGCATACCATGTAAAAATTTTCTAAATATTCTGAATATTAAAACATTTAAATGTTGTAGATTTTAGTGACTAGATCATAATAGTGGCATAAGGGCCAATAACACTCAGAAATTATAGGCTGGAACTCAGGAAAAGAACACCGAGAAAAGATAAATGCTTATAACATTCCTGGGCTAACTCTGGATTCTAGATATTTCCTTATTCATTCATAAAAGAAATAAGTGTTGAACTTTCATCATGAATAAACCACAGTGCTCAGCCCTATGGAGACAATTAAGTTAAAAAACAAAACAAGTTTGCTGACTTCCCTGGTGGTGCAGTGGCTAAGAATCTGCCTGCCAAGGCAGGGGACTTGCGTTCAGTCCCTGGTCTGGGACGATTTCACGTGCCATGGAGCAACTAAGCCCGTGGGTGACAACTACTGAGTCCATTCACCACAACTACTGAAGCATGCATGCTCCGGGCCCTGCAGACACAGCTAACAAGGCCCTGTGCCACGAATACCTAAGCCAGCGCACCCGAGTCTGTGCTGCACAACGGGAGAGGCCACCGCAATGAGAAGCCCACGTACCACAACTAGGGGAGCCCCCACTCTCTGCAAACAGAGAAGGTCCACGTGCAGCAACGAAGACCTAGCCCAACCAAAGATAAACAAAGCAGGGTGTATATGTCAAGCAAATAACAAATCAGATACAAAAATACAGTCTGTGACCTCAAGCTGTCCAGAAACCTTTTTAAGAAACATACAAACTCATCGTGGTCTTGACTTGTGCATTTCCAATGATTAGTGGGCTTCCCAGGTGGCGCTGGTCAGGAAGATCCCCTGGAGGAAGAAATGGCAACCCACTTCCAGTATTCTTGCCTGTATTACTGATGAACACAGACACAAAAATCCTCAACCAAGTATTAGCAAACCAAATCTAACAACATACTGAAAGCTTCATACACCATGATCAAGTGGGATTTATCCCTAGGATAAAAGGATTCTTCAATATATGCAAATCAATGAATATGACAAACCATATTAACAAACTGAATAAAAATCACATGATCATTTCAATAGATGCAGAAAAAAACTCTGGACAAAATTCAACACCCATTTATGATAAAAACTCTCCAGAAAGTGAGCATAGAGGGAACCTACCTCAACATTATAAAGGCCATATATGACAAACCTACAGCAAATATTCTCAATGGTGAAAAACTAAAAGAATTTCCTCTCAGATCAGGAACATGACAAGGGTATCCACTCTCAACACTATTATTCAGCATAGTTTTGGAAGTCCTAGCCATAGCAATCAGAAAAGGAAAAGAAATAAAAAGAATACAAATTGGAAAAGAAGACATAAAACTGTCACTGTTTGCAGATGACACAATACTTTACATAGAAAATCCTAAAGATGCCACCAGAAAACTACTAGAGCTCATTAGTGAATTTACTAAAGTTTCAGGACACAAAATTAAAACACAGAAATTTCTTGCATTCCGATACACTAACAAAGAAAGCTAAGAAAGAGAAATTAAGGAAACAATCTCATTTACTATTGCAACAAAAAGAAAATAAAATACCTAGGACTAAATCCACCTAAGGAAGCAAAAGATCTGTACACAGAAAACTCTAAGACACTAAGAAAGACATTAAAGATACAAATATACAGAGAGATACACCATGTTCTTGGACTGGATGCATCAATATTGTGAAAATGACTATATTACCCAGAGCAATCTACAGAGTCAATGTAATCCTTATCAAATTACCAATGGCATTTTTCATAGAATTAGAACAGAAAATTTTACAATTCGTAGAAAATACAAAAGATCCCAAATAGCCCAAAACAACCTTGAGAAAGAAAAATGGAGCTGGAGGAACCAGGCTCTCTAACCTCAGATTATACTACAAAGCTACTGTCATCGAGACAGTATGGTACTGGTATGAAAATGAAAATACAGACCAATGGAATAGGACAGAAAGCCCAGAAACAAATCAATTCACACATGGTCACCTAATTTATGACCAAAGAGACAAGAATATACAATGAAGACATCCTCTTCAATACGTAGTGCTGGGAAAACTGGATGGCTCCTTGTAAAAGAATGAAATTAGAACCCTCTAATGCCATACCCAAAACTCAAAATGAATTAAAGACCTGAATGTAAGGCCAAACACTGTAAAACTCTTGGAGGAAAATACAGGCAGAAGATTCTCTGACGTAAATCATAGTAGGATCTTTGCTGACCCACCTCTTAATGTCAATAAAAACCAAAATTAACAAATGGAATCTGTGCTTATTATGCACACACGAGCTCATTCACTCAGTTGTGTCTGCAGCCTGCCAGGCTTTGCCACCCTATGGACTGCAGCCTGCCAGGGTCCTCTGTCCATGGGATATTCCTGGCTAGAAAAGTGGAGTGGGTTGCTATTTCCTACTCCAGGGGATCTTCCTGACCCAGGGATCAAACTCACATCTCCTATACTAGAGGCGAATTTTTTACTGCTGAGCCACAATTGAACTTAAAAGTTTTTGCACAGCAAAGGATACCATAAACAAGACAAATAAGAAAATATCTGCCAATATTTTCTCCCTCAGAGTGGGAAAAAATACTGAAAATGAAGTAACTGACAAGGGGTTAACCTCCAAAATATACAAACAGTTAAAATAAAAAAAACCAAAAAACAAACAACCCAATCAAAAAATGGGTGGAAGACCTACACAGACACTTCTCCAAGAAGGCATACATATGGCCAACAAACACTTGAAAAGATGCTCAGCATCACTAATTATTAGAGATGTGAAAATCAAAACTATAACGAGACATCATTCATACCCATCAGAATGGCCATCATTAAAAAAAATCTACAAACAATAAATGCTGGAGAGGTTGTGGAGAAAGGGAACTCTCTTGCACTGTTGGTGGAATGTAAATTGATAACGCCCTATGGAGAACAGTATGAAGGTTCCTTCAAAAAATAAAAATAGAACTACTGTATGACCCAGGAATTCCACTACTGGGCATATACCCAGAGAAAGGCCGTTACTCCAAAAGATAAATGCACCCCAATGTTCACAGCAGCACTATTTTTAAAATAGCCAGAACATGGAAGCAACCTAGATATCCATCTACAGATGAATGGATAAAGAAGATGTGGTACATGTGTACAATGAAATATTGTTGCTAGGCCATAAAAAAGAACTAAACTGGATCATTTGCAGAGACATGGATGGACCTAGAGACTGTCATACACAGTGAAGTTAAGTCAGAAAGAGAAAAACAAATATTGTATATTAATGCATATATGTGGATTCTAGAATAATAGTATAGATGATCTTATTTGTAAAACAGAAATTGAGACACTGACACAGACAACAAACATTGGACACCAAGTGGGGAAAGGGGGTGGTGGAATGAATTGGAAGATCAGGATTGACATATATACATTATCAATACTATGTGTAAATTAGATAACTAATGAGAACCTACTGTATACTTCAGCATACTCAGTGCTCTGTGGTAGCCTAAATGGGAAGGAAATCCAAAAAAGAGGGGATATATATACACACACACATACAGACATACAGATGATTCAGTCTGCAGTACAGCAGAAATACAACACTGTAAAGCAACTATTACTCCAATAAAATTAATTTTAAAAAAGCAAAACAACAACAAAAAATGTGAAGCAATGAGGGTCTGAAACTATAAAGGTTGCAGTGGAAATGGGAAGAAAAACACTAGCTGAATAGAATACCCAGGCTGTGATGACTGATTGGCTTTATTGATTAAGGGAGTATAACATACCTTGTTAAGGAAATATAACATACGGCACATATAGATGTAAAGGAAGGGAATTGGATTTGTTGTCAATTTTTACTGTGGATGATTTGGTATTGGTAGCAGCAGTATTAGAAAAAGAATCATCTCTAGTAGCAGGAGACCTGGGTTTGATCCTTGGGTTGGAAAGATCCCCTGGAGAAGGGAAAGGCTACTCACTCTAGTATTCTGGCCTGGAGAATTCCATGCAGTGTAGATCATGGGGTCGCAAAGACTCGGACACAACTGAGCGACTTTCACTTTCACTTTCAATCTCTAGTAGAAGCTATTTGGCAAGCGATGATGATGGCTGTTGTTTAGTCACTCAGTCGTGTCCGACTCTTTTGTGACCCCATGGACTGTGGCTCATCCAACCAGCTCTATCCATGGGATTTTGTTGGCAAGAATACTGGAGTGGGTTGCCACTTCCTTCTCCAGGGACTTACTCCACTGTGCAACAGCAATCCAAGTTCCCCCTTTTAAAAGGAATCTTTCTCCTCTGTCAGTAATGTCCCCCCTGCCCTGCATTGGTTAACTATAGGAAAAAGTCCTGCCAGCAAGCCATGTCCATTTCTAATTCACTGAAACCATGTTTCCTAGGAAGCATTCCTCCCTTGAGTACTAAAATCTCCAAAACCACTAAGACTGAAGCTGCAGGGACCAAAAAATTCCTCAAGTGGTTTACTAGACATAATAAGAGAATGCAACGCAAATGTGTACATGTGTACACCAAAAGACGTATACAACAATGTTCATAGAAGCTCTTGTCCTAATAGCCAAAGACTGGAAACATCTCTAATGCCTATCAACAATAGAATGGATAAATAAATGTGTTATAAAGTAGAATACTGAATACTGTATAGCAATGAAAATGAATGAATGAGTGTTACCTGCTCCAGGTAACAACATGGATCAATCTTACAATGTTAGATAAGAGAAGCCAGAAATTAAAGATACATTATGCATGTAGTTTCTATCAAGGTTAACCTCTATCAAGCCTAATCTTTGGTGTTAGAATTCAGGATGGTGATCACCCTTGGGAAGGATGACGAGTAATAAGAAGGGACATAGTTATTGATGTGGGTGGTGACTAGTTATCTTCACTTTGTGATGTCATGCTAAACAATTACATTTGTGTTTTTCTATACATGTTATGCTTCCATTAAAAAGCTTATTAAAAAATTCATATAACTGTCATCTTGCACATAATGTATAATTTCTCTGGGTGCTTTTGTTTAAACCACCCAAGTTCTTGATGAATGGCTGCTGAAAAACAACACATTCCAGACCAGACTATGAGGCTTCTTTTAAAAACAAACAATAAACAAAATAAAGCAAAAAATATCTTAGCCATCCATGTTTTGAATAGGTAATATAGTTACATGTTTCAAAATTCAAGAGTTACAAAAATACATAAAGAGCCTCTATCCTTCTTCCTGTTCTTCAGACACTTAGTACCCCAACTGTGAGGCAACCAATTATACCAGTCTGAGACCAGCTTTAATTAAATTTGTTCACTAAATTGAAACAGGTCTGTATTTGCCTTAAGAGTTGTAGGTCAACAAGACAGTTACAGAGTAGCACCTTTGCAGGGAAAACACAGGACTGACCTGAGGGTTCCTAGACCCTGAGAATTATAGAGAGGGCATGCTAGGGGAAATCTTTGTGATACTTAACATACTAATTCCTCCTCCCATTAAGAGTATGCATTCTTCCTTCTCTTGTGATCCTATTATGTATCAGTCACTTTACTAAAGTTGGTTTTATTATCCCTATGAGAGCACTGCTGCTGCTGCTGCTAAGTCGCTTCAGTCGTCTCCGACTGTGCGACCCCATGGACGGCAGCCCACCAGGCTCCTCCGTCCATGGGATTTTCCAGGCAAGAGTACTGGAGTGGGTTGCCAACTAGGCTTAGATAAATGAATAATTTTCTAATGCTCATGCTAATAATAAGTGGCAGGTTTACAGTCAGATTTGAATTGCAATTGTGGGTTCTAACACCTTTTTTTTTTTTTCCAATCACTGCTTAATCAGAGAAGGAAAATTCCTGAAGTCATATTTCAAAAAGAATGAGAGAGTGGGAAAACAGAATAAGCAAAAACAGTTTAAAAATAGGTTTTTATTGAGTTGGCCAAAAAGTTCATTTGGGTTATTCCACATCATCTTGCAGAAAAATCTGAATGAACTTCTTGGTCAACCCAATATATTAAAAAACAAACAAACCAGAAATGTAAAATACAGCTTCTATACACATATTGGCAAAAAAGAAAATTTCAGTCACAAAACAGTTAAAACTATTTACACAAGGTGTTTGAACAACCAGTCAAACTCATGTACTCATAAGGAGCTGGGAGATTGTTGGGGAAGGTCCATTCATTGGGCAGAAGTCAGGTTATAGAGAATGACTCACCAATCACTAAAATAAGAACATGTAACAGCACATAAACTTATTTTTCTTTTCTTTCAGAGAACAATGCAAACATTATACACACGAGAGCCCAAGGAGTACATGTATTTGTTATTCCCACTTTGTAAGTGAGGACACAGATATCCTGTGAGTCAACTGCATATCCAGTCCTACGCTCAGACGTCATAAACGCAGCTAATGTTAACATTCTAGGTAACAAGTAGGAGGAAATACACAACGCAGTAATGCCAGAGTGTTGCATTGGTCCTTAAGGCTTCTTTGAAGGCAGAATTAATTTCCTACCCAATTTAGTAGGAATTTGGGATTATGAAAATTGTTAATGAACATGGAAAGTGAACTCCCTCTTCATTTCTTGGCTCCAAATGGCACAAAACTTAAAATCTTGAGAAGCAGCATCCAAAATGGGAGGATCAACCTGCTTTAAAATACCTAATGAGTCCATAACTGCTCGATTTCCATATATTTTAAGTTGATTCTAAAATACATCCACCCTCTCTAGTCAATCACCACCCTTCAAAGTTGACTACATATACATACACATACACATACATGTAATTGCCCTGTACTTGCTACACAGAATTCAAGACCTAGGGTAAACATACCCTGCATCTCACTAAATCTAAATTATGGTATACAAAAAATGGAAGCAATCCCTAGAGGTATCTCAAACTTACTGTAGGACCTTGCCCATCCAAGCCTGATAGCAAGAGAGCGAAGAAAAACCACAGGCAGATGAAAGTCAGTAACATTAGCAGCGCTGAAGCTGAGGAATTTATCTGCTGTTGGATACTGACAGCTAATCAGGCATCTAGCATGGTGTATTTTCACTTATATGATATAGGGGGTTCGATCCCTGGGTTGGGAAGATCCCCTGGAGAAGGGAACCGCTACCCACTCCAGTGTTCTGCCCTGGAGAATCCCATGGACTGCATAGTCCATGGGGGTGCAGAGTCAGACAGGACTGAGCGACTTTCAGTTTCATGGGGGAGGGGGAAGAAAGGGTTAACTTGCTAGGAATTGAATGCAGAGCCTAGTTAGATTTCTACCGGAAGGAAAACAGACTGGTGACTAAACTCACTGACCAATACATATAGTTGAAAGGTTTTCCTGGAAACAGAAACTAATGCTAGCCCTCCCATGAAATCTGGATAGTACACTAAAATTGTTCACTGGGAGAGGCATTCAAAAGTTTTGTCATTTAACAGTCTTCTGATTCCAGTTAATTGTTAGCAAAAATAACACAAGTTTCTTCTAGAGACAGACTTCCTTTCCTGTGAGAGTGAGGAGAAACTAAATTGAGTTGAGTTTTATGTCTAAACTCTTCTGACTACGTGTAGTAAACCAAAAACCACAAGAAAAAGCCCAAACCAAAACGTCCCAGATTCTACAGCAGTGCTGGTCAATAAAAACATGTGACCCACCTATACAATTTGAAATTTTCAAGTCGCCACTTAAAAAAAAAAAAGGTAGAAACATGCGAAGTGAACTTTACCAATATATTTATCACAACATATCAAAAGATACCATCTAAGCATACCATTTAAAATTATGCACAAGATAAGTTTTGATAGTAAGTGCTAAAAATCTAGCATGTATTTCCCACTAAGAACACATTTCAGTTCAGACAGCCGTATTTTCAGCGCTCAGCAGCTATGTGTGACTAGGAGTTACTCAATGGGCGGTGCGACCCTGGAGTTCGACTTCAAAAGAAAAAAACGAAGTGAACATAACTGAAAATCAATAGAGAGGACCTTTAGAGTTGGGCTGTGATTGCTGGCTCTGGTGTCTGGAGAAAAGAAGCCCAGGAAAAAAAATAGCAAAGCAGTGACAAGAAGCGAGATGGTGGCATCTCTAGAGAAGCCGGCCGTTCCCCCCAGGTGAGCCTAAGCCTTGAAGGGCCGCTTCGAGGGGAAGCGGTCACCGTCGTCGGGGCTCCGGAGCCCATGTGCCCGGAATGAGAGCCTCTGAGCCGGGCAGGGCCGCGGCCCTACCTGTCGAGCAGCGGGCTGTGGATCTGTAGGTGCTTCACGGCCACCTGAACGCGCCAGTCGGCGTGGCGGGCGGACGACACGGTGCCGGACGCGCCGCGGCTCAGGTAGCGCAGGTCGGCGAGCTTGTGGTACGGGATGGCGGGCAAGGCGCTGCAGATGGCCTCCGCGCTCATGGTGGCGGGCCGCGCCGGCCCTAGGGCAGCCGGCCGCTCCCGGAAGTGCCCGCCGCGCCCGCAGCTCCGCCCCGGCGCGGGGCCGGACACTAGGTTGCCAGGCCGTCCATCCCTCCGGCGGCCCGCGCCACGCTCCTTATCCAAGGCCCGGGCGAACTCTCTCTGCAGACAAGTGAACGCTGAGGCGACGGGGCGCTCCGAAGACCGGCTTTCTCTCGCCGACCCGGCCCCGCAGGCCGCGGCATCTACTGGAGCCCGCCGCTCGGAGCTCCGCCCTCCTCAGACGCTCCAGTGACGTCAGCGGGCGGACGCCGAGCCGGGGGCTTTCCCGCGCGCCAGCCCGAGGTCACGGCCGCGGCGAGCCGGGACCGCGTGTCCCGGGCCGGCGCGGCGCGGCGACGGCCTGGGAGTAGGAAAGGCGCCCGGGGCGCTCAGTGCGTCTTCTCTCCGCGCCCCCGATCAGCGAGGGTTTGGAAAGGGTTTCCTGTGAGGAAATTTCTCCTCAGACCCCTCACAGTTGGTCCGCAGGCCCTCCCGCCCTGGAAGACTCTCCTCTGGTCCAGTCTACTGGCAACGTATTTTTCTTCCCCTCATCCATGTTTACTCCTGACGCCCGTATTACAGACAGAGATCGAAAAATAACCTCGAGAGAGCCCTTCCCTCTGATTTCAGATAAGACTGCAAACATTTCTTTCTCATAGATCTGGGAAGAACGCAATATTTAATACCAACCAAAAAAACGATGGAAGCATCTTTTCGTCTTTTTTACCTTAAACGCATGTCTACTGCTGAAATGGCTGTTTTGCAACGTGTGGTGCAGATATTGTACACAATAGCAAATTCGTGCTAGGCATTTAATGAGTTCTGAAACGTAATTAATAGGAAATGCCTGAGTTGAATCAGGGATTTCTGCCTAGGGAAATTCAACGCTTCCTGTATTTCTTTATTGCCCGAAACGTGAGTAGCAATGCTACATTTTGCAATTAATGGAAGCTGTAATAAAGATTGTTTTGAAATCTGGTAATTTAAAATAAATTGCTTAGCTTTAAAGCTATGGTCTGATAATCTGTAGTTTATTTCTAAATAAGATTTTTGCTACAAAAAGTGCTGAGAAAACTTTTCGTATTCATTCATTCATTCAGTTTACAAACTAAGAGTTCTGGAGAAAGAGAAGAAAAAGTAGGGAGGTCGTTATCAAAATAATAACTCAAGAATTTTTGTCAGGATCAAAGGTCAAAAGTCTTCATGTTGAAAGGGTCTACCAGCTAAGGTGGCCGCAGGGGTAAAGAATCTACCCGCCAATGCAGGAGACTCAAGAGACACCGGTTTGATGCCTGGGTTGGGAAGACTGTCTGGAGGATGAAATGGCAACCCACTGGAGTATTCTTGCCTGGGAAATCGTATTTACTGAGGAGCCTGGCAGGCTACAGTCCATGGGGTCACAAAGAGTCTGATATGGCTGAGCATGCACGTGCACACACACACACACACACACACACATAGCACCCACAGTGAATAAGAAAAGACCTATATTAAAGTACATCTTTAAAAAGATCAAGACCCTAAGAGCAAATAGAAGATTCTAAGATTTCAGAGTGAAGAAACAAGAACAAACGGTGAGTATTAGAATGGCATCTGATTTCTCAGCAATAATGCTTCTATGCAGTTTTGTATTGCAATAGCTTCCAACCTAGAATTCTGTAGTCAAACCACCCATCAAGTATAAGAGCAGAATAAAAACATTTCACATATATAAGGATGTAAAAACATTTATTTTTCATCTATTTACTTTTTTAAAGAGAAAACTACTAGAGGATGTACTCCAATAGAACATGACAGCAAAACTTTCAGACATGGGGTCCAGAAAACAGGACCAGAAGGATGTGAAGAGAAATGCCAGGTGAAAGATATGTGGCAGGATTAGAGAGCAATTGTTTTCACTGGAGCAAGAAGATGGCAGATTCTGAGAAGAAAGAGTGATAAAAATCATTGAATTTATTTAGATGGTTAATTTTGAGTATTTTTATAGTTATATTGCTAGATAATTGATAAATCTAATGAAATCTATGAACAAAATTTGAGCAAGAGATTGAAAACTATAGGAAAGTGAAAAAAGAAATTATTAATTCCATGAAAATAAAGATTATACAAGAATGGAAGCAACATTTCTCCAAATTGTTCTGTGGTTGTGAAAAGTTTAAGACTTTTTAGAGCTTCCGAAATACTAGTATATTATAAATCTCTAAGAAGGAGAGAACATGCAGCATAGAAGGCTATAAAATTTATATTTCAATTATATTTCTTTAAAATTAACAGTATATTCATGTGGTTCAAAATTTTAAAAATTTAAAAAGACTGATAACCCAATAAAAAATTAAGAAGAAGACGTAGATACTTCACAAAAGGGGATATCTAAACAGCGAATAGTAAATGAATGTGAAAAGATATTCGGTATCATTAGTTACTAGAGAACTACAAGTTAAAACCATGAGGAAATAACACTACACAAATACAAGAATAACTGAAATTAAAAAGACAGAATGTACCAACTGTGGGTGAGGTTTTGTATCAATTGGAACTCTTGTACATTGCTGATAGGAGTGTCATTCGGGATGATCAACTTTTTAAATGGTGTGGCAGAATCTATTTAAATTACATATATATACATCCTCAGCTATTCCTTGTCTAGCTATGTTGTTTAGTTGCTCAGTCATGTCCAGCTCTTTGTGACCTCATGTATTGCCACATGCCAGGCTTCCTGTCCTTCACCATTTCCTGGAGCTTGCTCAAACTCATGTCCATTGAGTCGGTGATGCCATCCAACCATCTCATCCTCTGTTGTCTCCTTCTCCTGCCTTCACTCTTTCCCAGCATCAGGGTCTTTTCCAATGAGTTGGCTCTTCACCTTAGGTAGCCAAAGTATTGGAGCTTCAGCTTCAGCATCAGTCCTTCCAAGGAAAATTCAGGGTTGATTTCCTTTAGGATTGATTGGTTTGATCTCCTTGCAGTCCCAGGGATTCTCAAGAGTCTTACTACAGCACCAAGTTTGAAAACATCAATTCTTTGACTCTCTTTTTTTATTGTCCAACTCTTATATCCATACATGACTACTAGAAAAACCATAGGTTTGACTATAGACTATATGGACCTTTGTCTGCCAAGTTATGTTTCTGTTTTTTAATATGCTGTCTCAGTTTGTCATTGCTTTTCTTCCAAGGAGCAAGTGTCTTTTAATTTCATGGCTGCAGTCACCATCTGCAGTGATTTTGGAGCCTAAGAAAATAAAGTCTGTCACTGTTTCCCATCTATTTTCCATGAAGTGATGGGACTGGATGCCTTGATCTTCATTTTTTGAATGTTAAGTTTTAACCCAACTTTTTAACTCTCCTCTTTCATATTTATCAAGAGTCTCTTTAATTCCTCTTTGCTTTCTGTCATAAGGGTGGTGTCATCTGCATATCTGAGGTTATTGATATTTCTCCCAGCAATCTTGATTCCAGCTTGTGCTTTATCTGGCCCAGCATCTCACGTGATGTACTTTGCCTAGAAGTTAAATAAGCAGGGTGACAATATATACAGCTTTAATATACTCCTTTCCCAATTTTGAAGCAGTCTGTTGTTCCATGTCTGGTTCTATTTCTTCTCGACCTGAAAACAAGTTTCTCGGGTCATCTGGTATTCCCACTTCTTTAAGAATTTTCCACAGTTTGTTTTGGTCTAGTCAGTCAAAGTATTTAGTGTAGTCAATGAAGCAGAAGTAGATGTCTCTCTGGAATTCTCTAGCTTTTTCTACGATCCAACAGATATTGCCAGTTTGACCTGGGTTCCTCTCCCTTTTCTAAATCCAGCTTGTACATTTGAAAGTTCTTGGTTCACATACTGTTGAAGCCTAGCTTGAAGAATTTTGAGCATTACTTTACTAGCATGTAAAATGAGTGCAATTGTGCAATAGTTTAAACATTCTTTGGTATTGCCCTTTGACATTGGAATGAAAACTGACCTTTACCAGCCCTGTGGCCACTGCTGAGTTTTCCACATTTGCTAATATATTGACTGCAGCACTTTAACAGCATCATTTTTCAGGATTTGAAATAGGCCAGTTGGAATTCCATCACCTGCATTAGCTTTGTTGATAGTGATGTTTCCTAAGGCCCACTTGACTTCTCACTCCAGGATGTCTGGCTCTAGGTGAGTGATCACACCATTGTAGTTATCTGAGTCATTAAAATCTTTTTTGTATAATTCTTCTCTGTATTCTTGCCACCTCTGCTTAATATCTTCTGCTTTTGTTCAGTCCATACCACTTCTGTCCTTTATTGAGCCCATCTTTGCGTGAAATGTTCCCTTGATATCTCTAACTTTCTTGAAAAGATCGCTAGTCTTTCCCACTCTGTGGTCTAGGTGTATTCCCTGGTGGCTCAGGCAGTAAAGAATCTGCATGCCTGCAATGCAGGAGAACGGGGTTCAATCCCTGGGTTGGGTAGATCTCCTAGAGGAAGGCATGGCAACCCACTTCAGTATTTTTGCTTGGCAAACCCACAAGGACAGAGGAGCCTGGTGGGCTACAGTTCATGGGGTCGCAAAGAGTCAGACATGTCTGAGGGATTAATCACAGCATATACTAGAATCCTCATAGTAATGCTATTTATGATAGCTTCAAACTGGAAATTATCCAAGTATCCATAAACAGTAAAATGGGTAAATAATTTGTGGAACATTTACACAACGGAATATGAAACAGCAGACTTCCCTGTGGTTCAGTTGGTAAAGCGTCTGCCTACAATGCGGGAGACCCAGGTTCAATCCCTGGGTGTGGAAGATCCCCTGGAGAAGGAAATGGCAACCCATTCCAGTACTCTTGCCTGGAAAAATCCCATGGAAGGAGCCTGGTAGGCTATAGTCCATGGGGTTGCAAAGAGTCGGACATGACTGAGCAACTTTATTTCAATTCACTTCATGTGAAACAGCAATGATATTGAACAAAGTACAATATTGATGAA